ATGATTCTATCACTTGTTTTATTTACCTAAAGGTACATCCTACACACCTCTCCCTAATTCTTTTTATCAGCTGCATATATAGATGTACTATAATTCCTTAACTACTGAAGATGGACATTCGGGTTTTTCATGGCTTTTTAAAATTGTCATTGTTGTTACCAACAATGCTGACAGGATGGACAGGACATCCTTGTACATTTATCCTGGTGCACATGTGCTCATATATCCACAAGATAACTTCCTAGTGATGGGGCTAAGTATCTGTTAAGGACCGCCCGATCCTGCAATTATATGATTATGGTAATACAAACATTTTCAAATGGTACAAAACAATCAACAGTGATCATTTGGTTAGAATCTTAACTTTTCTCAAGCTTAAATAAGTCTTCACAACTTTTGTAAATAAGCCCACTGCTGTGAATAAAGATAGATTTTAGACTTTGAACTAAAAAGAACCTTCACATTATCATTCTAAAATTATGTTAGATTTCCTTGGAGCAAATTTTGATCATGATGTAAATCCAGAAAGGGTATTCATTGATTTACTCACTCCCCAATCATTCAGCATGTACTAAAGGGCGTCTCACAGAACTTTCTAGTCGTGTTTCCCTCTCAAAGTTCATCAGTGGCTTTCTTGGGTGCTTCCAAAGTGATGAACTAAGACGTTCAGGGGGGTTGGGGTTGTTTGATGCCTCCTCCTAATGGATTCCTCTCTTTAGGTTCGCCTTCTTCAAGCTTTCTCTTTGCCCATGAAGCTGATGTAGTCAGACGGCTCCAAAGCCCATTCAAGCCTGGAAGGAAGGTCTTCCTCTCTCCTCAGACAGCCAGGGGGAACCAGGGTAGGACCCAGAGGAAAGGAGGCCCAGCATGGGTGGTTCACTAAAGCTACTCTCAGCTTCAGAGGGAGACGCTCTCTTTTAACCTCAGTGAGTTTTCCATCTTTCCTTTCCTGTGCAACTGGCAAGCTTTGTAGGACCAAGACATGGTTGTAGAAATTGAGAAAAAAAGCCACAGACGCCATTTGGCCTGCTTGCAGCTGGCTTAGGCCATAGATGCAAAAACTAGATATGGCCTGATCCAGTTTACAAGATGCTTTTACACTGAAATGTGTGACCAGAACTTCAACTGGTACTAAAATATTCCTCTTCCTGCAAGAATAATTCCTTCCCCTTGTATAGATTCCCCTTTGGGCTAATAGGCATAGCTGGGGTATGAAGGCAACAGTTCAAGAATTCAGGGATGCCAAGACCCAGATATATCTTTCATCCGCCTTACACCCCGAAAATATGACCAATTTCAGGCACTGTGCTAGTTATTGAGGAGTTACCTATATTTGCTTAGAAACCGAAAGAGCCTCATTTTTCCACAAGATGCTTCAAAAAGCAGAACAATTTAGCCTTAATTCTGCAGTGCACAGTTCAAAAACTGTTCATACATGCTGAGAAGGCTTCGAAAAAAAGAATTCTTTAGCAGACCCCATCGCCGCAGAGGGTGCTCCAGAAAGTGTCCCATTTAACAGTGCCCTCTGCTTTTCTGATATTTTGAGGACAAAGATGATGGCGCAGCTTCACAGTGTGAAGCCTGCCCAGCCCTGCTTGGCTTTGCCTGGGCCCCCTCCTTGGCTGTTCTGCGTCTCTCTCCCTCTCTCTATTTCTTTAGAGATGAAAACCCAAAAAGATCTGCTTCTAGCATCCCTACTGCAGATTTCTTCTAAACCTCACACAGTGGAATTATGTATCTGCCTGCCCACGTATGGGCAAGGAGTATGAATTTTGTAAATCCCTCAATGGTTAAAAAAGAAAAGAAAAGAAAAGAAAAGAAAAGAAAAATTCTATCAGAGTGAAACTTGTCAAGGAGACACCATCCATTTTCCAAACCATTTTTTAAGGTGATTTCTCAAGTAAGTTTTGTTGTACTAATAGTAGCAAACATTTATAATATGTAGAGATAAGGAAACTAAGACAGAGAGAGGTTGAGTAACTTGCTGCCATATTTTTGCTTAGCTCCAGGCAGATGGGCATCTCCGTGTTCTTTACCACTGCACCCTATCTGTATGCCTTCTCCATGGCATCTGTGAACAGGTCTCCGTGAACACAGAGCAGGACTCAGTCACAGTGGGGAGCAAAGGTCCTGCCCTCACATGCCAGTCACCAGCATGTTGTGCATTTACACCTTTGCCTTATCAGCCTGAACGCCCCCTACCTGAATGTAGCCTTTGATCCCCTAGCCACCAGATGTCGCTTTGACTCTAGTGGAAAGCTCTTCTTGGAAGCAAAGCAGCTGTGGCTTTAACCAAAATCTTGCCAAGTTTCAACTCCATTCAATTTAACAAGTATTTATTCAAAAGCTTAACTTTGTATTGGGTGTTGTGAAACACTTTTTTAAAAGTGTAAGTTATGTTTTTGACTATCAAGTACCTAAGGAGAACAGACACCAAAAAGCCAAAATACTGTGAGTCGTTGCAAAAATGATTGAAAGGAACATTGTAGAAATGATCACCATCCAGACTAGAGCATAATGGCTCATCAGGAGCGGTTGCTTGATTGAAACTTAAAGGATGAATAAGATGAATTTAGGTCTGTGGGGAGGGAATTTATGTCCATAGCAGGGCATCCCAGAAAACAGTGTGAACACAATCACAAAGTAAAAATAATAGCAAGTCAGGTTCAAGGAACACACCTGAGGATCAAATTCCAAGTTGCCAGGTTGGTTTTCAGACTGCTGCCTTACTCCTCTGACAACACAGCCAGAGAGAGCTGTCTCTCCCTCTCTTCCACATACCCACTCCTACTCTAGTTAGGCAAGTCTTATCAGTGTCCCTTGAATAAGCCATGCTTTAAGTTACCCGTCATGTCCCAGATGTATAATCCGTAAGCCTAGGAAAAAGCAGTGTCATTGACCACAATGGGAAACCAAGAGATGGAATGGTTTCAGGAAAAGGCAGGAAGAAGTAATTATTTTTGGCAAGTGAAGTTTGAGATGACAATGGAATTTTCAAATAGGGGACCCAATATACATTTATTCAACAAATATCAGATGCCCGCTGTGTCAGGCACTGTGCTAGGCACGGTAGAAACAGCCAAAGAAGGCAGTTTATTATCTAGCAGGAGTAATAGATAGTAAACATGTACTATTAAATATGAAAGTAGAATTTAGCATATTTTGGATAAGTAAGATTTAAATATCTAGATTTGACAACCATGTATACGCTCAGAAATGAAGCCAATCAGCAAGCACTGTACAGGGTGTTGTGAAAAAACAAAAGATGAATAAGACACCATCCAATGAGGAGCTTACAATCCAGCTGAAGAGATGAGGTGGACTCACACATGTGGCCAGTGGACAATAATGGCATGAGATGCACCAATGGCAGCGTCATGTCCAGGCAGGGTACTAGTGTGATTTGGGGCTACTCCACTGCTACCCCAGGAATTTGATTATCTGACCCTCTGCCAGAGTCTTACCTACCCTCCATCATCCCATCCCCACTTCATCTCCTCCTGGACCAAAGTCCTGGTGGGTGCATAGATTGGCCAAGTCCAGCAGACATGCCCATGCTGTGGGTACAAAGAAGGCTGCAAAAGCCACTATCTGGGAGATTGTCCTAGCTCCCCTAGACTCATAAGATGGATAATCCTAAACCCTAGGAAGGGGGTTTAGAACTTGGAAGGTGAAAAAGAATGGCAAACATCAAATGACATTATGAGGGAACTATGAACTACTAAATGTGCAAAAAATAGGAGCAGAGAGCATCACTAGAGGGAGAAACTCAGGTTATAGACTTATAGAGATGAAAGGCTTCAGAGGCCACGAGGGCCACTCTTCTAACCACTGCAGGAACCACCTCTACAACCAGATGAGGAAAGACACCAGGAGGTGCCAGCATGGTTTGTAGGGTGACAACACAAACACCATCCACACCTATAAAGAAGCTCACCTCTTCCATTTTGCCATTTATACAAATAGCGCCACTTTGATTCTTCTCTACTTAGATGAGTTATCAATTTCAGTTGATTGGCCTATTTCAGGTATCTTTCCGATTTGTCCCTCTCCATTTCATCCTTGTGCTTGGATTCCCAAAACTGCCTCCTAGATGACCTTCTAGCCCTCCATTTGTCTTTTCAAATTGTGCCCCACATCAGTTTAAGGTTAATTTTCTTAAAACTGTTTTCTCTAAGTTATTCACTTGCTCAGATGACCATAATGACTCCCAAACTGCCACTGCATGAAATCGGAACTCATTTGCAGACAAAAGCCATATTGGATCCACTAACTCATAGATCCTCTACATTCATTGTTCACTAACAATGAAGAAATCCAGTCCAATGTCTTCTAACTATTAGTTTAAATCACTTGAATTCTATGATTCTACCTGCACTAAACCCATGTTTCTAACAATCCTCTCACGAATCTTATCTTTTCTGTGGCTAGGCATACCACATTGAGACAAGGAATTCTAGGAAGTGTCAGCTTTCCCAGGAGTGTAAGAGTTTACATCTCTAGAGCTTCCAAACTTCCACAGGCTATTGCCTCACTCTCTGCTTTATGTCCTTACCTCACCACCACTCATTACTTCCTTATATACAACCTCTCCTCTCCCCCATGAAAGAGAACACACCTCTTTCCACTTGTTATGCCTTCTGCCCTTCTTGCACACTCCCATTCTTTCTTTTCACTCCATAATGATTTACCCTTTTAAATCTAACAACTTGCTTCAGTGATATTATTCTTGACCTAAAAAAAAACCACAAGATAGTTCAGCCAATATCTATGCCATTGCCAAGCCTAAGGTATAGGCAGAGGAAAAAGGGAAATGAAAAAAGAAAAAAAGAAAAAGTAGTAGAAGAGAGAAGTTGGAAATGGGAAATAATGATAATTGCTGCCATTATCTAGTGTTTAAAGTATGCCATATACTTTCTATACATCCACAAACAACCTTGCAATGTAGGTATTTCTATCCTCATGTTTAAAATGATGAAATGAAGAGTAAAATGACTCACCTGAGGCTAGTAAGGGTCAGAGACCAGATTGCATCCCAGGTGAATTAAGGCTATCCTCTTGCAACTACAGCATATTACCTCTATACCAAAGAGTAAGAAAAGAACATAAAGCGGAGACAGGTAAGACCTTACCAACAATTGCTTCAAGTGCTACTAAAAAATAACAGCACCATTAGTTACCAACGATTATCTAGAAAGAGTCATTAAGTTTTTAGTATGACAAAGTTTAAGGTGTTCTCTTTTACGCAAACTCCTTTACTGTACTACACAGACACACACACTGGCATACACACTCATACATGCACATCCTCAGCTAAAAAGCTCGTATTACAATTTACATGCTCCTGATCTTTACACTTGTGTCTGGATTATATTCGTTCCTTTTTAGTTCTGACCCATGAGAACCGTTTAAGGTTCTCTTTATTTCTCCTCTTTTGCCTTAATTCATGTTTCTCCCCCCTTTCCTTACATCACTTTTATATCAGCTCTTCCTTTTATCTTTTATTCTCATCTCCTTCATTACCTACACATTTCTCTTACTTTAAGAGGGTGTTCATCTAGCAGGTTCTCAGTAGATATCTATTTTGAGCTCTATATTTTCTTTATGTCTGCCCCCCCTTTGTCTTTCAGTCTTCCTAGTCATTCCTCTTTCCCTACACCCAGTTCCCACCCTGCTCCTTCTCAATCGCCCACACCTCTTCCATTAGCCTCCCCTACTTCCTCACAAGCCCCAGTGATCCTCCCATCCACCTCGCACCCCTTTTCCCGCCTTTTCCCCCCAAGGTTCTAAAGCGCGAGGACCTCATTGTCCTCCCCCATCCTTCATTCAGCCCACAGGACAGCCTTGTTACCATGACGACAGAGCTACTCAAAGCGAAAGTCAAGGACCTGGTTGCCATGGCTTCCGCTTCTCCGCCTTCATCCCCGCCCGCGCGCCCCGCAGCGTTGGCGCCTGCGCAATGCTCAAAGTGAAGGGGCGGAACGGGGCGGAGTTTCAAGCCAGAGGGGCGGGAAGAAAGAAAAAGGATAAGAAAGGGAGTGGAGCTGGCGCCTACGGTGGCCGGAGAGGGACGCGCCAAGCCGGAGGGTGCAGAATGGTAGGCTGGGCGAAAAGGGAGGGGAGGGGGAACCGAGGGGCGTGGGCTGCACCTGCGGGGGTCCTTGGGGGCCGCCCTTTGTGGGAGCCGCTCTTTCTTCCTCCGGTCCTCAGAGGCCCTCACTTTCCTGGACGGGTGGGAGAACCGGCCTCAGAAGGAAGAGCAGCTGGAAATGGCTTTAGGGAGAAGGGGCGGGAAGAAGGCATATTAGTGGGACGAGAGGGGGCTGATTTAGGGGGTGGCTGGACCGTCCCGAGCCAGGGGGAGCGCACGGGTCGCGATCCAAGGCGTCTCGACCACTGCCGCAGGGAAGTCGCCCGAGGAATAGGGGCGCGAGGGCCTATTGGCAGTGGGGAACGCGGGTCACACTCTGTCCCCGTGCAGCCTTGAGAGGAGTGGCGGCCGGTGGGGTTAGTCCTGTGTGGGAGGGGATAATTTCCGGGTCCGAGGAGTGGACGTCCTGCCTCGGTTTATAGTCCGGTTTGCCTGGAGGTTGGGCGAGATGAGGAAGCTAAGTGGGCTTGAGGGCTTGCTCTTGGGGACCCAGGCTTTGGAATCCCGACTCTGGTGCTCTTTGCTCTCTGTCCCCACCCCATTCTCTTTCCGGAACCCAGGCCTTCCGTCTTCCTGCCCGCCCCTACCCCCATTTTAGACGCTCACGGCTCCCTTGCGCCCCTGTGTTGCCTTCCCCCCACGCTAGCAGCGCTTCCCCTTCCTCAACACCAAAAAACAAAAACAAAAACAAAAAAACACTTGAATTCTGATCTTTAGCCTACTAAACTAGTACTGTTCCACACACCCAGGGATTCCAGCCCTGGTAATATCCGTGGAGAGAACTGCAGGGAGAAGGCGATAACTCCAGGATGTGGCCTGGACCCCCTGGAACTGGGTAGCTAGGGATGCACGAGGTATCGAGGGCTCTGCACCCCTTCCCACTCTACCCAGCTTCAGCTTTGGCACACAATCATTCCCTAGGAAAGCAACCTTGGATTGCTGTGCCCTAACTGAGGAAGTGATAGGGAAATTGGTCACCTGGTATCTGGGAAGGAGTGAGCACGCAGCAGGAAGCACCGTAAAAAGGAGAGAGGAGTATCAATAGCCAAATGTCTGAATGGCGAGGAGAGAGAAGGGTGGAATTTGGGGGTCCCAGTACCATATGGTTATGTGAAGGATATTCCTTGGCATTGGACTGCACAGGAGGGCAGTGTGACTAGGATGGGGTGGAGAACTGAGGCAGCTTCTCCAGGAACAAAATACCAGATTTCAGCGTGGTGGTGGATAGAATGGGCGTGGAAGAAAGCAGACATCCCTTTGACATCACCTATGGGCTGCTTGTTACTGTGCTAGGCATTTTACTTACTTTAGAAAAACAGGGTTAGGAAGCAGGAGGTCAGAGAATAATAATAGTGACACCTAATGTGTTACAGTGCTTACCATGTGCCAGGTACTATTGCATGTAGCAACTCATTTAATCCATCTTAACAGCTCTGTAAGGTAGGTACTTTTAGTATCGCCATCTTACAGACAAGGAAACTGAGGTTCATAGACAAAGTAATTGTCCAAGGCAAATTATTTAACTAGTAGAACCAGGATTTGAACCCAAATGGCAGACAGACTCAGAAACTCTGACACCCCCCAGAAGGAAAGGCACCAGCTGGTAGGAATACCCAGAGTTGAGAGCAAGGGCTGATTTTTTTAAGAAAGTAGAGGCTGTGAGTGGAGAAGTGTTAGGTAGAATGAGTGTTTTTGAAAGAAAAACTCAGAGAACCAAATCTCTGCCTCTCCTCCACTCCATCTCCCCACCAGATGCGATTCATGCTGCTGTTCAGCCGGCAGGGAAAGCTGCGGCTGCAAAAATGGTACCTGGCCACATCAGACAAAGAGAGAAAGAAGATGGTTCGGGAGCTTATGCAGGTTGTTCTTGCTCGCAAGCCCAAGATGTGCAGCTTCCTAGAGTGGAGGGACCTCAAAGTCGTCTATAAGAGGTGACTCCCGCCTACTTTCAGACCTGCCTAGATCCTGCTTGACTGGGGCCTGGCAATGGGTTTAAATGGCTGATTAATAAGTGGTCCCTAGGTCAGGGAGAACTGGGAGCTAAAGACATCTGAAGGGCAGTGATGAACTCCAGCTTCCTTTCCTTTCCAAACTCACCTTGAAGTCTTGTTCCCTGCGTGGTTTTGCTCAAGCCTGACACCTATGCCACATACCTCTTTCCCAAAGTCCCTACATGTCTTTTGCTGTCTCAGTCAATAGTCATAAATCCTGCGCCACTTTTTTTTCTTAAGGTTTTTATTAAAATATAGCTAATGTACATCATAGTAATTCAACAGTACCCACTTGGTCCTATACAAAGTTATTACCATATTATTGAGTATATTCCCAATGCTAAAGAAGAGATTATAAGTCCAGCAACCATCTGACACTGTACCACAGCTATCACAATATCACTGACTATATTTTCTACGCTGTGTTTTACATCCTCAAGATTTGTTTGTTTTATACCTGGAACTTTCAACCTCTTATTCCTCTTTATCTTTTTCACCCTTTTTAAAATTTTCAATCATTCAATTACAGTTGGTATTCAATATTACTTTATATTAAATTTCAGGTGTACAGCACAGTGGTTAGACATTTATATAATTTACGAAGTGATCCTCCTGACTAGTACCCAACTGGCACTATACCTAGTTATTACCTTATTACTGACTCTGTTCCCTGTACTTTGCTTTACATCCCCATTACTATTTTATAACTACCAGTTTGTATTTCTTAATCCCTTCACCTTTTTTACCTGGTCCCCAACCTCCTCCCTTCTGTCACCCCCATAGATCTAGTACCCATCTGACACCATACATAGTTATTACAATGCTATTGACTATATTCTTATGCTATACCCTACGTCCCCATAACTACTGTGTTAACAACCAATTTGTACTTCTCAATCCTTTCCTCTTTTTCACCTACCCTCAACCCCCCTCTCATCTGGCAACCATGAAAATGTTGTATCTATGAGTTTGTTTCTATTTCATTTGTTTATTTTGTTCTTTAGATTCCACTTATAGGTGAAATCATATGACATCTGTCTTTTGCTGTCTGACTTACTCCACTCAGCACAATACCCTCTAGGTCCATCCATGTTGTCGCAGATGGCAAGATTTCATTCTTTTTTATGACTGAGTAATCTTGCACCACTTTTCCCAACACACACACATGCACTCACGCGCACACACACTCAAACACACTCACCCTTTCCAGTCCCTTCTCTGAGCAGGTGAATTAGGTGGCTCAGGTTTTTGCTGAGCCAAACTGAGCAGGTCAGATATCAAGAGGAAAGAGCTTGGTCTTTGCTTGTTTTTCTTAATGGCCAAGCGAGTTCCTTTTTGCATACCCTGGGGCTACCCTGCCTGTGTCCAGTAGCCACGCAGACCCTGGGCTGAAAAATGGAATGAGCTCAGAATGCCTGGGTCCTGAAGCAGGCCCAGTAGCTCTCCCAGCTCTCTCATGCACCCCTGTCCTCAGATATGCCAGCCTCTACTTCTGCTGCGCCATCGAGGGCCAAGACAATGAGCTCATCACACTGGAGCTGATCCACCGATATGTGGAGCTCCTGGACAAATACTTCGGCAGCGTAAGTCTCCCCATGCTCTCCAGTTTCCATTCTCAGAAATCCCCTCTTTCTTCCAAACTCTGGGGCCCTTCTACTCTCTGCCCTAGGAGTCCCAGGAGAGATGAAGTTGGAGCAATGAGAACAGTAATTAATCCCCCTCTTTAAGCCTTAAACCTATTAGCCATGCTCCTTCATCCGTCCAGGGGAGAAGGGTGGGGACCAGAATCTGCCACTTAATCAGTCCATCTAGAGCTCAGCTCAGACTTCTCACAAAAGGACAGAGGCTATGTTCAGATTTTATCAGTGGTTCCTGACCTTGACTTTGCATTGGAATCTTTTGGAGAGTTTTTTAAAAATAGCAATGCCTGGGTCCCACCGCAGAGGTTCTGAATTAACTGATCTGGGGTATAGCCCGGGCATTGGCAGTCAGCTCAGATCTTAGATGGGGAATAGTAATAACTCCATAATTTGTATTCCACCTAACAGTTTACCATGTGCTTTTAGATTCTCTTATTTGCTCCTCATTGCATTCTACAAGTAGGTGTTGATGTCTCCATTTTCAGATGAGAAAACTAAAGCTCAGAGAAATGAGATGACATATACAGCTAGGTGGTTAGTGTGGAGAGCCCTGCTTGGATATCCAGTTTTTTTGATCCAGAATCTCCTCCTTCCCTTCCCTTCCCCACAGTACCTAGGAAAGGAGGCTAGCCCAGCTGCTGGTGGGAACAATGTCACAGGTTTGGGGGGGAAGGCAACAAGAGTCATAGTCAAGAGCAACTAATATTTTATGATCACAGAGAAAGAGGCAAGAGAAGGAGAAGGAAAAGCTGAACCAAGTCTTAAGGCCTAGGGGTTGGGAGGACATAGACCTGGGACAAGAACCCTAGGTGGGAGGAGTGGTCGTGAAGAATATGTGGAGCTGTGTTGAGAAAAGAGGTGGGGCAGCTGGGGTGCAGGTGGGGTAGGAATGCACTTCAATACTCAACTCTGCCTTCTCCCCCTCCTTCCAGGTATGCGAGCTGGACATCATCTTTAACTTTGAGAAGGCCTACTTCATCTTGGATGAGTTTTTGATGGGCGGTGATGTCCAGGACACCTCCAAGAAGAGTGTGCTGAAGGCTATTGAGCAGGCCGACCTGCTGCAGGAGGTAGGGGCCTGGGACAGTGAGGAGGAGGAGGAGTGCTGTGGTGGAGGGTGCCCTCCCTGCCCTGGACACCCTTCCAGCTGGCCAGAGCCGCCACCTTCCCACCTCTGCCGAGGGGGCCCTCTCCCTGTGGCGCCTGGCCCTCACAATGCCCAGTTGGCCAGCTTTTTCTCAAGCCCTGACTGCTTGGGGTGGGAGGTGGGGGTGGCGACAGTCTACCTGTGTCAATTCTCCCCTCCTTCCCCCAAGAACGAGGTGTCTCACCCCAGCCGAGTCTCCTTTGTCCCACGCTACTGTTGGCATTTTAATATTATTCAGAGAATTGGAGAAGGGGCACATAGTAGATGATTCTTTTCCTTCCTGGTGTCTTCTCTCCCCCCCCCCTTTTTTTTATACACACATATACTCAAAATGAGCCTCTGCTTCTCAGAAGCAAAAGGCTATAGGGATTTGGGGGTTGGGGTGGAGGGCACCTAGCTGTTGGTTCACCCTACTATCCAGCACCCCTGCCCTCACCCCATTACTGCCTGCCCCCTCTCTGTTGTGCCACTGCTGAGACTTGGTGCAGGAAGATGAGTCACCGGAATCTGCAGTGACGAGCAAGCCGGCCTGAGCTGGCTCTGAGGAGGGGGAAAGATGGGGGGCTCATTTCTGCAGCAGGAGAAAAAGCAGAATTGAACTTGTCACCTCACTGGCCCAGGTTCCCCTTCATACACACACACACACACACACACACACACACACACACACTCACACACACATACACACATGCTCTGGCACACACACACCCCTGTTACTAGTGCTCTGTTCAGACCCTAATGACTCATCTCTCTGCAGTCTAGTTCACCTTCCCTCAGGGACCTGATGCCAACCTCTTACTCCCCCAGCCCCTGAAAAAAAGGACCCAACCATCGCCACCCCCCAGCCCTTGGAAAGGAGGTGTCCGAGCCCCCTCAGATACTAAGGCTGAGCCCCCTGCTCACCAATTTCTGGCTTTGTGTTCTCTGGGTAGTGGTGGACTCAGCCTGGACCCACTCCTTGCCACAGTTGGCTCTGGAGGGGGCTGGGGGAAGTGGGGGTTTAGGAGGCTGGGAAGCTCCCTTGAAGGGTCTTCAGCTGTTCTGGCCTTGGGCTCACATTGGCTTCTCTCTCCCCTCCCCTTTTCTCTGTGTGCTTCCCCCACTCTGCCTCTGTCCTCATGATGCTGTTGTCTTGCCCACTCACCTTCCTCATTTCTTGTCTGCCTCTCCTGGTGTCTCTGCGTCACCCTGTCTTTGCCTTAGGAGGATGAGTCGCCTCGAAGTGTGCTGGAGGAGATGGGTCTGGCATAGCCCCCACCCGGGCCACGTGGAGATGTGGGGAGCTGGTGGAGAGGCAGGGCACGAGTGGCCCTTTTCTGGGTAGGACTCGGCTGCCCCTCCTCTGCTGCCTCACCTTCTTTTGGAGTGAGCTGTGGGCTCAGGACCCTCAAACATTCCCTCCCTCCACCTCTTATCTCCTCTTTCCCCTTTTCACACTGAAGGTTTTCAGAGCTAGGAGGCAGGAAAATGTGACCAAGACAGGGGTGCTATTTGGCTTTCATTCCCTGCCTTTGAAGAACTAATGTTACCCCAAACGTCCTTCCCTCCCTTATAACTGTAAATATATATAAATACGTCAGGTTAAAGGGAAAATGTTTTCAGGGCTCTTCTCTTCTCCCTGCCCCATAACCTACCTCCACCCCTCCCTGCAGCCAGCCAGGGCAGCTTCTCTGCCTGGAAGGGTGGCATCTGTGTAGTGAGAGGGCTGTCCTTCCCTCATCTGCCCTTCCTTCTTGGCTGCAGTAGGGCCTGTGCCCAATGCCCGAGGAGGAAAAACATAGTTAATTTTTTTCTAACCTTACCACTTTGAGGGGAGGGAAGGCTGGGGGAAGGGCCGGCTTCATGGGAGATTGGGTCCTGTCCCTTACTCCATGTTCTGGGTGAGGCGGGAGCTAAGGGGGTGGGGTGGGGAATTGTCTGACTATTTCATTTTCTCTGAAATAAAAGGAAAAGCATTTCTGGACTTTGCCTGCCTGAGACTCTTGTGAAAGAAGGCAGGGCTGCTGGGCTGTCAGGAAGGGAAGGGAACACTGTACATTCAACTCTTCCCCAAAACTGGGGTTGCCAGATTTAGGGTCCAAAAAAAGAGGATACCCAGTTAGATTTGTATGGTAATGAATAAATGAATAATTTTTTAAAAAAGAAATTTTATTGGGGAACAGTGTGTTTTTCCAGGACCCATCAGCTCCAAGTCAAGTAGTTGTTTCAATCTAATTGTGGAGGGTGCAACTCAGTGGCTCATGTAGGGATCAAACCAGCAACCTTGGTGTTTACGGGCACTGCGCTCTAACCACCTGAGCTAACCGGCCAGCCCTGGTAATGAATAATTTTTAAGGATAAATGTATCCTATGCAAATATATCCATTGTTTATCTGAAGTGCATGTTTAACTGGGTGCCCTGTATTTTCTCAGACACCCCTACCCCAAACCGATTTGCTAGTTGAATGCCTCTCTGACCAGCTCCCAGGGCTGCCTTCAGCCAGGGAGGAGAAACTTCTCGGGACTCTCAAGTTTCTTTGTGGAAGATTTCATTTGCCTGCTTTAGTTTTATTTGGGAAGGAGACTCAAGAGTTCAAGGGTATATCCCACCCCCTATGCTTAGAAAAGGGTTGAGAAGTGGCCTAAACCAGGATGTTTCTGTGGCTGCCATATTTCTTGTGAACTATGTAGGACCAGTGAATTCAGGGAGAAGTTAAGGAGGCGGGTGGGTAAGGTGAAACAGGGCTGTGGGGAGCCACTAGCGCTGCCTTTGTGGTCCCAGATTCACCGAAAGAACCTCCTACGTGGCCCTGAGCTGTGGCTTCTAATCTACTTTGCATCTCTCTGCCAGGCCCTGGGAACCCATAACTTTAACCACCACCACCACCCCCAAACTGGAAATGGAATCTAGGGTTTCCTAATGGATGTGAGCCTATTCTACCTCCCCCCTCCCATACGGTTTAAAGTGCTTCTGCCACTCAACCCTCACTTTTGGGCAGAAGAGTGTTGTGGCTGGCATTTCCCTCACCGCCCCTTGGGAAGGACCACACAGGCCCAAGGGGACGGGTGAATAACCGAGAACAAAGTCCTAATAAAATAGTCACTTTTATTTCTTAGCAAAACTATTTCCTCCGTGAGGGGTATTTACAACAGAGAAGGGGGAAAAGGGGTAAATTCACAGCGATTGGGAGAGGGCGGAGAGGCTTGTGTGAGGCCCAAAGGCCTGGAGACAGACACAATTGGAACTGCTTTTTCCGGTTTCGGGGACGTCCCAAGAGGGACTAAGTGGGGACGGCGCCCCGCGCGGGGTAGGAACTCGCACAAACCACCCGCCCGCCTAGGCTGTCCCCCCGGACACCAGTGAGTGAGTTTGTAGAGTTCGGGCCTCGGACCAAAGAAGAGGTCTGACAGGTCCCGGCACAATCCGGGGGCGGGGCAGTCCGCGGACGGAGGTGGGGCGGGAGCCGAAGGTGGGGGCGGGACGCATGCAAACACCCAGAGTGGGGAGGAGCGACACGGAGGGGGGTGACAGCGCGCGCGGCGGCGGCGCGCGAGGGCGGAGCCCAGGCGAGTCACGGGCGCCGGAGCAGCACGTGCTCGATGTAATTCTCCAGCTCTTCCTGCTCCTGCAGCCGGCGCTCCTCCGCTTCCGCCTCCTGCGCGCGCGGTGCCTGGGCCTCCCCGCCAGCATAGTGGCGCGAAGGCGGCAGGGCGTGGTGGTAGTGGCGACGGCGCGAGACAGCGGGAGGCTGCAGGGTCCGCGGCCGGATGTAGTTGGGAAAAGGGTGGTAGGGCCCCGGGGGAAACACCTCGTCGTCCTCCCGATCCCAGGGCGGGAGCACCTCGTTCCAGTCGGGCAGCTCGTCTCGAGCGGGGGCGGGGGGCGGGGGCTGCGGAGAGCGGACATGAGTGGGGGCGGGGGCAACCCGGGGGGGCGGCACAGGCTCCGGAGGGGCATTCTTCTTCCGCTTCCGCTTCTCCTCCACCTCCTCAATGATGCTGACCACGTCGTCCGCTGGCAGGTGGAGTTTAGTGGACAGCTCAATGAGGCTATCGATCGTCTGCGGGTCCATCTCTTCGTCGTCGTCCTCCTCCTCCCCGCCCTCCTCTGCCCCCTCAGCCTCCTTCCGACGGTGGCCAGGGGTCTCTTCCTGGGAGCGCTTGTCCTCGGCTCCAGCTTCACCGTCCTCCTCCTCAGCGAACAGTAGCGCGTTCTGCCGCGCCCTCTCTGCCTCCTCCGCCTCCGCCTCCGCCTCCGCCGCCTCCTCATCCTCCTCTCCTACCCTCTCCTCCCCGCCGCGTCTCTCCTGCTCCGCCTCCTCCTCCCTCTCGCTCTCTCGCTCCTCCTGCTGCAGCCCTCGACCCCCAAGGCCGCGCTGCCGGGTCCCGCCCTGCAGCAAATACTGGAGCAGCAGGTCGGAAGCGAGGTCGGCCAGCCGCTCTTCTTGCGCGGCAGCCTGCCGTGTGGCTTCCGCCTGCCGGCGCCCGGCCTCTACCTGTGCCAGCCCTTGCTGTAGAAGGCGCTCCCCTGCCTCGGAGCCGCCCAGGAGTGAGCTCTCTGGCCGGCGCGCCTTGGGGAAGGGGCCGCCCAGGCTTTGGTACGCTTTGGACAAGGGTGCCAATGCCTCGCCTAGGTGTGTTTTGGGGGAGGGCACTTTTTCCCCTAACTGGTGGGCTTCGGGAAGGGGGCCGCTCTCGGGCATATGAGCCTGGAATTGCGGGGAAGCCGGGGGCGGCAGGGGGGCGCGCTCGGGGACACGCGCCTGGAACTCTCCCCAGGAAGCACGCCACACGCGCTCGGGTCCGGGGCTCTCCAGGTTGACTCGGGTTAGCGTATGTGTGCGAGTTTCCGTCTCTGCCGCCGCGGTCTCTTGCTGTCGCTTGGTGTTGCTCGGGCTGAAATCTCGCAGTTCCTGGAGCAGGGAAGCCAGTGCCTCCAGCTCCTCTGAGGGGTCGCCCGCCTCGGGACCATTCTCCTGAGTCTGAGGACGAGGTGGGGCCGCAGGCGCTTGGATCTCTGGTGATGGGAGGCTGTGGGTCTGGCTGCGCACGGTCTCGGTCAACAGAGCTTCTGCTGCTTCTTCCGCTGGCTCCTGCTGAGAGCCTCCGGGTGCGGGGGGCGAGGCCGGGCGATCGAGTGCCTGCAGCAGCACCGCGGCCAGCGCCCGGGGATCCACGCCCTGGAAAAGCTCTCCCTCGTCCTGCGGCTCTGAATTTCGAGCGGCTCGGACCTCTGGGGCGCTACCACCCTTCGGCCCGGGCACTACGTCCCCAGCTACCGGCTCTTTATGCTCAGAGCTGAGGGGAGGTGGCTGCGTCTCGGGGCGCCCTGGGGGCACTGCTCCCAGCCCCTTAATCAGTAGAAGGAAGCAGAAGAGGGCAGAAGCCGGCAACCTGAGCGATTTCATGACCAATGGACTGTCGGAGACTGTGAAAATAGAAAGGGCCAAAGAAAGAAAAGATTTCTTTAAGAATTTTCTGCTCTCTGATTCTGTATTCCCTCCCCCCACCTTTAACCAGGAAATCCGGGCTTTCCTGATTCCCCTAACCTTACCCAGAAGAGGGACGTTTAGGAGCAAAGGAGGAAGATGTTGTGCCGATCTCTGGTGTCGTGTAAATGGGAAAATGCCCGCAACCCTTTCACCCACGGTGCTTCCTCGCCCCCTTCTCTGAGCCATCTCATTGCCAGCGCCCACGTACTAAGCAGCAAGGATAAGGGGGAAATCTCTGCTCCCTCCCCACAGGACTCCCCGGATGGTGCGTGGGCGACTTCAGCAAGAGAAAAGCGGTGACTTCCTCATTTACCAGGGACCCTTACGGGGGGCTCCCCGCTGTGTTTTTAATACCCCCATCCGGGAGGAGCGAGACCCCTCCCTCATGCCCACGGCTGCCGAGGATTTGAGGGACGGATAGAGGCGTATTTACCAGTTGGTGTCACGACGAGGGAGGTGGAGAGGAGGGTGAGGCGGGGTGGGGAGAGGGGAAGATCAGGACGCGTCCGCCTCGGCAACGAGCGGTGGCTGGGATACGAGCGATGATGGAGGTCTGGCGTCTAGTGGACTAGGCTCAGCTGGGTCGGCGCAGCTCCTGTCGGCTCGCTCGTTCCGTCTTCAGCACGCTGGACAGCGCCCGCGCCGTTCCTGCTTTATAAAGGGGAGCACGCGGGGTCACGTGGGCTCTCCCCGCCCCACTGACGTCAGTGTTCATTCATGGGGAAGCGGGCGGGAGCCGAGAGGCAGGAGGATGCCCAGCTATTGGAGAATGCCGTTCTTTCCCGGCATGCGCCTGCGCGATGGGGCACTTGGTTGGAGAGGCGTGCGCTAGCAAGCACCGAGGGAATGAATGAATGAATGAATGAAATGCCGAGGCGGGAGGGGTTGGGGGCTCTGAATGAATGAAGGAGGGACGAGGAGAAAAGGATGAATGAGTGAATGCGGGAATGAATGGAAAGGTGGATGCAGAGGCGCAGGAAGGCAGGAGGGTGGGTTACAGAGCAGCTTGCAGCGTCGGGAGCCTGTATTGCAGAATGGAATAGGATGGGGCACTCCCAGGTCTGACTGAGCACCAGTAGGACATCCATACTGGGGAGGAGGAGGATAAGTATTCCAAAGCCGTGGGGGGAACGGGCAGGCTCCCCATCCCCCGACCTCACGGTCCGTGGGGAACACACCCAAGGACAGCGCGAACCTGAGAAAGGAGGGACGGACCTGCCCTCCTGCAGGCGCTCTCCGCGGATCCGCGGTGTGGGTTGCCGGCCCTGGGCCGGGGCAGATAGGTGAATTTTGCGGTTTTAATAATCCCACCGAAAAGGGACCAAGTCGGAAGAGAAAGGGGAAAGACTGAGGATCTGTGTGCCTCTGTGTCGTGTCTGTTGACGGTCGGTGCGTGTCTGGAGAAAAAGGTGTGTCTGTCCTTCTGTCCAGCTGACTGTAGCTGTCAGCGCCCCCGCTATGCCCCTTTTCAGCCTACCTCTCTCCTCACCCTCCTGCTTCTTTTCCTCTCGTTTCCCCCCTAAAGGACGTTTGGAGGGCAAGAGCAGACCAGGTGGGGAGGGGGTTGCGCAGGTGGGGGGGTGACTCAACTCCAGCTCTTTCCACCGCTTAAAGGGAAGGTTTGAACGCGATGCGGGGGGAAGGGGGCGGCGTGCAACGTCAGAGATTGCCCCTTATTGCCACCAGACCCCTCGTCCGTATCTCCTGCCAGGAGGGTTGGGGCTGGGGGCTTGGACAGCTAGAGGTTCCGGGGGGTTGGGGGCGATGACGCACAGATTGCGCAGAGAATCCATCAGCGAGCCGGGGCCAGTGAAGGGAGACCATCTGTGGGCGGGGGTGCGGAGGGGGGACGGAAATGAGGAGGGGGCAGGGAAGAGGGGGAGGGAACCAAGGGGAGCAGCCACTGCAGGAATGAAGGGGAGGGAGAGAGGGGGGCTGCAGTGCAGACAGAGCTGTGCGGGGGCGTGGGCAGGGAAAGGGGGGAGTGACAATGACACACACTAGATACAAGAACTGCGGACACAAGGGTGCCCATGGGCACACGCAAGGCACCCCAGCCCTAAGACTCTGGAAATCAGGATCAGGGTTGACTGTCAGGGGCTCAGAAACTCTTTCAGAGCCATTGCTCAACCCCCTCTTCATCTCTTCCTAACACTGACCCTCATTTTCCTCTCTGACACACACAACCATACACACACACACACACACACACACACTCACTCACGTGTTTTCCCTCTACCGCCAACAGTAGCTTCTCGGTTCCATCAGTGGTTTGACTTTCCCAGAAGAAAGCCCATCAGCTCTGCGGGGAAAGAGGTGGGGAGGAGTAGGACAGAGGAAAGCGAGAAGAGAAGGCGGCAGGAGAGGAGGAAGGAATGAATCTGGAACAGGTAGAAGGAACAGGCTAAAGGGGGGGGGGGGACCAAAAACCAGAACCAAGTTGACTGTGAAGATGCCAAGAAAAGGAGGGAGAGGAAGGGGCAGCAGACCCCATGGCAGTGCCTCACCCCCAACCCCACACACAGCAATTTAGGACCTCTCCCTGCCCCTTTGTGCTCCCCTCATTCCTCTTCCTTTCTCTCCCCCTCTCCCCTTTATCTTCTCAGCCCCGTTACTGAAAGCAGTGGAATGGGGAGGGGGTCACGTTACCTTCCTGAGGAGGATGAATCAGAGAGATGGTTCAGACATCTGGAGAGGGGGAGGGGAAGTCGTCCAAGAGAGAAGAAAGGGGCAGGGAGCAAGGGGAGGAGACTGAGAGGCTGACGGGGCTCAGAGACCAAGTGTGAGATGAGGGGAGACAGGCACCTAGAGAAACTATGTTCCTGTAGGCTCATGTATGTGCATGTACATATGTGTGTATGTGTACAGAGATTAATGAAATATGGGAGAAAATAAAAGAAAGGGAGTTGGGACCAATTGCATATTTAATCAGAGAATGGATGGGCATGGTAGTATTCCAATTTAAATATGTCGTCTTTTCTAATCTGTGTTTTTGCCTGTTTCCAGGTGTCTGAGTTTTGATCCCTTCTGAGTGCCCATATACCTGTACAGTTAAAAGTCTGCGTGCATCCAGTGTGGGCATCTGAAAAGTGTGCCTGGCTTGGTGTGTCAATCATGTGTGTGTGTGTGTGTGTGTGTGTGTGTGTGTGTGTATACGTGTGTCTTAGAGGTTATGTGGACTTCTGTGTGCCTTTGGTCTTTCCTGTCCCCCACCCCCGACATTCACCTTTTTCTCTCGATTTCTATGCCATAGAGCCTCAGTATCCAAGCCACTCATCTGCAGCCCCCAAGTCCAGGTCCTTGCCCCTTGTTTTCAGTGTTCTCCCATTTCTCCATTTTCCTGAACTCACCATTCCTTCCTTTCTCCACTCTAGCCCAGAAGCCTAGGAGAGCATCTCAGAAATAGACATTTCAAGAGTCTCAGTCGTCATGGGGTGGGGGAGGGGAGCAACAATGTGGAAGCCCTGGGAGCCAACGGCAATAGGTTTGGTGATTCTGCAATCTGGATCTTGACCCACCCACCCTTGCCGGCATGGTCTCTGATCTCTGGGTCTGTTCTGCCTCTCTTCTTTCCAGTTCCCTACCTGGGTCAGTTTGTTCACACACACACTCTACCTCTTGGAGATGTACTGTGTCCTTCATACCCTGCTGCCTCTAGGGGCTTTTGAAAAAAAAAAAAAAAAGCTGGTCAGGGGTCAGGTTCCTGGGATCCGAGAGAGTGGGAGAGGGATGACAGGAAAGAAAGAGAAATGGAAAGACAGAGCTGGAAAAGGCAAAGCTGAGATGGGGACCTCAAGGGGATGCCTGATGTTTGCTCTGAGTTGTTTGTATAAATGCATCTCTCTTTGTCTTTGTTTGTGAATCTCCCATACTCTCCAGTAGGATTGGAGGAGAAGATGGGTCCAGCAGAGTAGGCATCCAAGCTGAAGATTTGGAAAACCAGGGGAGGGGGCAGAACATTGGGTCTTTTCCCTGAAAAAGTTTGAGAGTGAAAGAGAGAGCAGGGGTTTGGGGCCCACCCACAGCTCACCGTCTCCCCCACTTCCCTCCCTTCCCCCCAACTGGTGACTCACCTCTGCAGCCTTTCATTGCGTCAGCGTTGGGGGTGGGGGATAGGCAGGGAGGGGGCACTTTATGAGAGGGGCAGGGGTCTCCACTTTGAAGTGAAGGGTGCTGAGGGCCCCCCTGAAAACAACTCTATTAGAATCCATTATTACCCTATCCCCTGCCCACCCCAGTTCAGTAGGGTGGGGTGACCTGGGAAGGGGACTGGGAGAGGGCTGGGGGCCACTGTCATGTCTGAGGATTATAAGTTATTAGGAAGGAAGTGCTCACCCTGATTTTCAGTCCTGGGATCCCATTCCCTCTTAACCCTACCCACTCCTGAGTGGGGGAGGGGAGAGCCGGGGGAGGGCAAAGCTGCAGAGATGAGTCACCAAGAAAGGGAGAGGGAGACAGAGATGAGGAGAGACACAAAGAGACAGCTACTGGAGAGACCGAGAAAGGAAAACACACTCACCGTGAAGGTGGTATCCACAAACTAATAAGAGAAAGGAAATTGTTTACTTCCATAATCCTGAACCAGTCTCCTCCAACATGCACCTGTCACACACACACAGCACACTCCCAGTCAGAGTTACACTGATATTCTGAGACACACCCATTTTCACAAACACAATGTCACACCTAGCCTAGCAGGGTCACTCAGACCCATGCTGAAGATGTGGCCAGGGCAATGGAGATTCGCATGGAGAGCCCTCATTCCTTTTACACTGGATGAAGGAATGTGACTTCAAAAATTCAAGACGCAGATCAAGGACTCAGAGGCTACGCCTTCCACACGCGACGACACACACACACGGTCTCCTGCCTCCCCATCCACACGTACATAGCAACATATCAGCATCGTCCTCATCAAAAAGACAGTTGGAGTACCTGATTCTGTGGTACACCAGCCGTGTTATCCCGAACACATTGCACCCAGACACCCCCTGACTCGTACACACATGTACAGAAACGCAAACACACAAAGACGCCCATGGACACACTCACACGGACGGGAACCACCTTGCGCTGCCTCGCCGGCGTCCGCGCACGTCCTGGCGCCCCCGCGTGTTACTTTTCGGAATCGCAGTCTCCGCGGCTCCGGAGCTCGGCTCCCAGGGGGCGGCGCCCAGGATACCTCCACCTCCTCCCGGTTCTGCTCGGTGCCCACCGAGGAATGGGGAAAGCGAGAGCGCTGGCCACGAGAGTCGAGAGCTGAAAGTTAGACGTCTGGACCGCAGGGCTGAGGGAGGCTGGTCCTGGATGCCAAGGGGAACTTGGGGGAAGAGCCCTTAGAATTTGGACAGCAGCCCACTCCAGGAGAAAGCGAAGCTGGGGGGAGTCAGGGTTCCGCGCTGCTGCCCTCCTTGCTTCTGAGCAATCGCTGCTTTCTGCTGCTTGGCTGGGCTGGGGGTGGAGGCGGGCAAGGGCCAGCAGCCTTCCCCAGCTCCCCTCCAGGAAGTCATTAGCCCTATTGCCACAGGGCTTAGAGATCCTCTCTAATACAGGCTGCTGGGGAAGGGGGAGGATAATGCGTCTTATGCCTCCCCGCTGAGAAGAAGTGAAACAGACACAGAGGGTGGGCTAAGGGTACATTTTATTGCAACAAATCCAAAGGTTGAAGTGACAGGGAGCGTGGCAGCATGGCCAGGCACTTGAGGCAGGAGAAGCAGAGCAGCACAACAGGAAAGCTGGGGACACTGGTGAAGCAGCGGCGGTCTTCTTTGCCTACCTTCCACCTCCTGGCTCCCTCCTCTGCCCTTGTCTTGGATTCCATCCCCAGCGAACCCTGTGTTTGCTGTCAACAAATCCTTAGCAACTGTCCATTGTCCAACAAGATGTTCAAGTTACCACCGTCATGCAGAGTGAGTTTCTGAGGCAAGCCTTGGGCTTGGGACACCTGGGTTCTAGTTCCTGTGAGGTTCCCAGCTACTGCGAGTGATTGGGAAGTCACTTTGATTTTTCTGAGCCTCTGTCTGCTTCCTCTCTCTGTGGTAGAAGCGAGGATCCAGTGTAGGAGACAGCACTGTGCAAATGCAGCTGTTACTACTTGCATTTAAATAGAAGACTGTCAAAGTCCAAAAAGCATAAAGGAACCAGAGGAAGGGAGGAGTGTCCAGAAATATCTGGAGGTGGGGATTAGTTTCACTAGAAGGCAGCCTGGTTAGAATCAGGAGGCAGTCCCACACCAGCTGAGGGACCTGCCCTCCATTGCACCAAACTCTCCGAGCCAAACCCCCTGGTTCATGCCGCTGGCTGGGGGAATCGGGAGGGGACCTGCGAAGTAGCAACATCGTCCAAAGTTGGAGGAAACAGCAGTTAGAGAGGACAGGCTCAGACAGGTGCATCATCAGAGTGTAAACAGAGGGCCAAAGGGAGTGGCGTTATAAATCTACTTAATTTATAGGGGCTCTCTCCATACTGAACACTGGGCGGGTGATGAAGAGTTCATGAGGAAGGAGAATAAAGAGGCAGAAACACCGGCAATGAGTAGCTAAGTGTTGGGGAGGTCCAGGGAGGAAGAGGAGGAAGATGCGGGCACAGCAAAGAGTGAAAGGACACAGATCCAGAGGCACAGGAGACTGGGAGGGCATCCAGGAGGGGAGCACAGGGCAAGCTCTGAGGGCTTGAAAAAGAGCAGGAGGAAAAAATGTAATACATATTGGGCAGCTGTGCTCCTGACCAGGTGCTGGGCATTGCACACGTCTGCCGCTTCTACCCAGGAGGAGGCAGAAGGGAGAAGCCAGGAAGGGCAGAGTTCACTCTCAGGCTAAGGAGACAGATAGGGAAAGGCTCTGAAGCCTGTGAACGAACCGGTTCTTTGGTGGGGAAGGGGAAAGGACAGATAATAGCAGCGCAATGGGCTCCCCCAAACCTGGTGATTCAGATCAGGGCGTTTGGGGGCGTTAAGGGCAAGATGACAAAGAGAGGTAGGGGGAAAAGGAAGGGAGGGGTGGGCATCAGGTAAGGGTAGGCGGCAGGGCAAAGGGCAGGGGTAGGAGGTGGAGTTTGCAAATAGGGTGCGGGATCTGGGGATGGGGCCTATTCTAAAGTGCTCCTCTCTCCTCAGATAGTAGAGGCCTCAGATGTCAGCCTCTAGCAGGTACTGTTCAGTATAACCCTTGACCAGCTCGAGCCCCAAGCCGGCCTGGCAGAAATCGGCCAGTTGTGACCACAACTGGGGCGCCAGGAAGAGCTGGCACATGACGTTGAGGCCGGCGAGGCCCGGGGCCTGGCGCTGCAGGTGCCACAGGAACTGGCTCTGCACTTGCGCGCCGTCGCAGCCGAAGGCGTCAATGTTGAGGTAGCACCAAGTGCCATCTCCGCCATGCGGGATGGGGAAGGGGCGCGTGCACAGCGTGAGCACGCGCGGCCGCGCGCGGCTGTCCACGCGCCACTCCAGGCCCTTGGCCGCCAGCAGGCGCAGGTTGCTCTCGCTTGGCTGGTAGGGCTGCCAGTCCTGGATGATGGTCCCGCCAGGAAGCACGTCGCGCTGTACGGAGGGTGACAGCAGGAGGCGTGCTACGTCGCCGCCTGCCTCCGACAGGGTCTCGGTGGGCAGCTGTGAGAAGGTGCCAGCGGCCCGCAGTGCAGCCAGCCGCGCGCCCAGCCCCGCCAGCAGCGCCGACGCGTTGAATCGAACCAAAAGGATGCCCTGCGGGGGGCACGAGTGAGCGCAGGACAGGCGGTGGGAAGGCTGGCGAGCCCGCCGCCTCTCGGCATCTTCACTCCCACGGGTTTCCCCACTTGGGCCCCACAGATCGTGCGGGGCCGCATGGAATGGAGTATGTGAAAGCCTGGGTTCCCGAGGGTCGTCTGGAGGAACCAGGGCAACTCTTTTGAATAGGAGTTGGGGTCAGTGGGGAGTAGCAAGGAACTGGGGGTGTGGGCCCCTGGGTTTCGGAGAGAAGCAGATGAGTTGGTGGGATGGAGGAAGAAGGGGAAGGAAGAAGGCTCAGATTAAGATGTTTGGGTCCCTAAAGGGAGACAGGATCGATGTAGGGAGGCAGGGTCACGAAAGTCCGACTCCTGGCCTCTTCAGCCTCCCGGAGTAAAGACTGAGGGCTTGACCGCTGGGAGTCGGGAGCTGAGTGACTTCTCTTGGGCAAAAGGGCCTGGGTTAGGACAGGGAATCCCAGGGCAAGGCTCATGCGCGCCCGCACTCAGAGCCGTCAGAGAAAGAAAACCGATGACAGGCTGGGCATGGGGGAGGACGCCCAGATGCCCCAGGGGACAGGACCGGCCATCCAAGCACCCTTGTCCTTCTCACCTGCTTGGAGATTAGGCGGTATTTCTTCAGCTCCCGGGGGCCCAACTGGTCGTCCCGGGTGAGCCGTACTACCTTGACCCCCGGGTGCTTTTGCTTGACCAGCTGTGAGAGGAAGCGCTGCAGCAGCCCGGCCACACCCTTGCCACGCTCCCAAGGCGCCACGCGCAGCCCCTCCACCAGAGCGGTCTCCCCGGCGTCGATCACGTGCACCGACTCCAGCGCGATCTGCGGACCGAGGCGGTTAGGGGACCCCTTCCCCGCCTAGGTCCCTTTCTGCTCACAGGGTTTGCCTCTTCCCACACGCTGAGTGCTTCTTGGTCACCACCCTGAGAGCCAGGCTAGATCTGGGGCCTGCCCAGGGAGCTCTCCTCAGCACTTGGGTCTCGGATTCCAGAGCGGGTCCTTTGCCGGGGTTGCTTCCACCTCTTGAGTTGCTGCGGCTTCTGGAGCACAAGGTCCCTGACCGCTCGTCACGCCCCTTTTCCTTGGCTCCATCCCCTGGTACCTACCACGCCTCTTCCTCTTAGCTCCGCCCGAAGCTCTTCTCAGAGCTGGTGCTGCTCACCACCGCATCTCTGGGCAGGCCCTCTTAGTGCGAGAGTTCAGCTTACTAAGGGGTCCTGGCTCCGCTCTAACTGCACCCCCCTCCAGTCTATCCCACTTACCTGCTCCCCTCTTTTTGTGCTCCTGCCGTCTGAAACGCCTCAAACAAATCCTAAAATACTGAAGCTCTCACCAGTCCCTCCCGTCCCTCTGCTCTTCTGAGTTTTACACTTCTCCACCCTACCCTCACTGGCTGGGCCCCTAGATCCGCACGCCCCACTCTTTGGTTCCACCCTACTCTCTAGTTCCGAAGCCGACTCTGTATCCTCAGCAACCGGATGAGGGCTGGGGAAGAGGCTCGCTTTCTCTCCTTCCTAAGATCCAGGCACCCAAACGTGGCTTCACCCCTTTTCACTTGGGCCCCGCCCCCCGGTTCTCACCACTCTTCCGTTGCGCTTGGCCAGCACCACAGTGCGGTTGGGATCCCGGAGCCAGCTGTGGTAGCGGCTGGGAAGGTAGTCGAGGCCCCCGTAGATGCCCCCGGAGATGGCCAGCACCTCCTCAAACTCCTGTTCTGTGGCAAACACGAAATCCAACTGCTCGGCCTCAGGCCCGGATCCGGACCGGGATTTGGACCCCAAGGAGTTGGCCTTGGCCTCAGGCCCTGACTCAGCCCCCAGGAGCTTGTCTTCAGCCTCAAGTGCTGACTCAGACTTGGACTTGGTCCTGGCCTCCTGTGGACGGGTCTCTGAGAGTGGCTCCGCATCTGGCTCAGCCTCTTTTTCGGCCTTAGGGACCTCTGAGGTGCCTATGCCACAGCTAGCTTCCAGCTTCATTACCCTGCAGTAAGGAGAGAACCCAGCATCGGGGTCAGAGCCCACTGTTTCCACATCTGGCCCCCTACTCACAAACAGTCCCTACAACCCCTCCCTACACAAACACCTGCTCTCCACTCAGATCCTCGGACTAGAGGGCCTCTAGCTCCCCACCTCCCACAAGCTCCCAGAACTCCCAATCCTACTCTGCTCCACCCTACGGGGATGCTCCTCAACACTCACAAATTCAGGACCCTGTGAGCTCCCCCAGAGACTAGCCCTTGATCCCCTCCATTCCCAGTCAGCCCAAGGACTCAAAGGAAAGGTGTGGTGGGAGGTAAATAACGGAGGGACATTCCCTCAAGGGTCCCACCACCTCTCTACAAGAACATGAGAATGAAATTCTCATCAATCTCCCCTTTCCCTGCAGGAGGGTTTGGTTGGGGGAGGGGAGGGGTGGAGAACAGAGGGTTCAACTCCTCCCCTTTCCTGCCACTGTCGCTTATCATTCCAGGGCAAAGGGAGGGGGATGTAGATCCCAGATCGCCTTTATATTGCTGCCCCAGTGCCCTCCAACACACATATTCAAACATAAACCAAAGAGTGGGCAGACAGACAGCTCCATTAGAAAATTTCAAGCTGACCCTCCCAGGCTCATCAAAACCACCCGTTCCTTTCTCAAGTCTGTTCCCTTCTCCTTAGGAAGATTTGTCTCCACTCCCAGGTGAGATGATCATTTTGAAAAGGGTTCTGCTGGAACTCCAGCAAGCAAAATGTCCACCAAGATCACCCATGTCCCCTCCCCATTTTCCTCCCCTCCAAAGATGGAGTCCCTCCTCTTCCCCCTCTTCTCTCTACTTCTCCTCCTCCCCCTCTTAAAGTTTGTTCCTGTAATCCTTGCCCATCTCCCATACAGGACTTTCCCTGCCCTTCCCATTCCTCGAAGTCTCCTTTTGGGGTTAGTCCCCTATGGATCTGGCACCACTTTGGTCTCTGGCTTTTCTCTTTTCCCTGTCCAGAGACAGGGCCAAAGAGAAAGCCCCCTCCCCAAGTCCTAATAACTCCCTATTTCCAGACCTCACTCCTCCAGACCAACCAAATCAACCAATCAAATAACTCCTCATCTCTCTTTCAGTCAGTTATAATTCTCCCTTCACATAACCTACATTAAACATCATTAACCAATATCCCAGGGGACATACACACCAGCTACTCTGTGGAGGGTGATATTGGCTTAGTTGGATTTCTTTTTTAAACAAGAACATGAGCTAGGCTTGGGAGGGGCAGCAAGGGGTGGTTTAGGGATGATTTCAGCTTCCATACCATAAATGTGGTTTACATAAACACAGAGTGCTTGCTGTACAAACAAGCTTCCAAACATGAACACCATCTTCCTCATTCTTTTCAATCTGATACCAATGCCTAAGTCTCTCCCAGATAAGCCAGGTGGGGTAGGGCAACTCATACCAGTATTATCAGAGGCACAGGCTCAGAGGATCTTAGAGCCCCTGCTAGGGTCATTAGAGACCACCAAGTTCAATCCATCCCTTTCACAGCAAGCAAATCAAGGCCCAAGATGGTTAAGATCTTACCTAAGGTAACTCAGCTTGGGCAGAGCCAGGCTACAAGTTAAGTTTTCCTGGCTCCTAGGCCAGTGGGAGAGACCTCTTTGTGGATGGATCTCCAAACCCAGCCTGAAGAGCAAGGATAGGAATTACTGGGTCCTTGGCAGGAATCAGAGGTCTCAAGAGCTAAGGGCTAAGCTGACTCAGAACCAGAGATGGAATTTTGGGAGGAATCCCCACCGCCTTCCCCTCACTGTCAGCAATTTCTAGGCCAACAAACAAGCTCAAGCATCAGACTCCTTGCACCAGTCTCTGGGAATGATTAGTCCTAGAGACAAGCAGGTTAACTTGTGGCTCCCATCTTCATCTCTAGGCAACCTCACAAGCTGTTCACGGGTCCCTGGAAAAATACAAGCTGGTAGTTCCGTGGTAACTCCAGCAATTCCCCACCGCCTCCAAAGGGGGCAGAATGTGAGCAACTTGTAAACTGGAACACATCCAACAAATCTAAGACATGAGGCTCTTGTTCCCCTCCCTTGCTTTCAAGATGGGGAGACTATTTTCAGCGGTGTCTCTGTACCATCTCAGATACCATTGTTTGTTAGGGGAGGCAGGGAGTTTCCAGGGTCAAAGGGAAGAAGGAAAAACTTGCCAATTATTCCCCCAGCTTTTCTTCCCAGGCACTCCTCTACTCGTATTCTTTTTGGGGGGGACACAAAGGTTCCAAGGTCCTTAAACCCTGGGGGAGGTGGGTGCTGGGAACAAAATAGGTCAGGGGTTCTGGGCCAAGCCAAAGCTACTGGCCAGCCCCCCAACCCTTGCTGCACACCCTGATCACTTCCAACCGGACACCCTCCAACCTGGCTCCTTGAACTATAACTCCCTTAAAGTGTCTAAGCAGAGGCAACCTGTGCCTCCGGGGCACTGTGGGGAACGTAGTTTAGATGTCTGGACCAAGCTCTAGGAAGAGGGGCAGCATTTCCCTTGCCATCCATAGCCCCGCATCCTTGTATCCGTTCTTTCAATCTCATAAATATGAATGATCACTCTAGGGAGACCGGGATGATTGGAGTCATCGCTGAGCATTCTGGGAGCCCCCTACCCCCCACCCCACTTCCACCGCACCCCACACACCTGAAATACCGATGCCCTGAGGTCGCAGCGTTTCGGAGCTGGAAGAGGGAGGAGAGGGGGCAGAGAGGCGGAGACAAAGAGAGGGCAGCTACACAAAGCGCCCAAAGAAGAGAGCCAAAAGGACGAGACGGGAAGCAGAAAGGAGACAAAGGCGGACACGGAGATTCCGGACGGGAGAGGGTGGGAGAGGGGAGCGCCAGGAGTCACGGATACGGAATCACAGACATGATACCTCGTGACCGAGGGCTCAGCGGATGCCAAAAAAAGTCCTAACACTGCACCCCCGCCCCAGGGAGACCATAAATAGAAAGCAGCGCGACACACCCCCCTTCTCCCTGGTGTGTGGTGGGGGAAGGGGTCAAGGCAACAAGAAAGCCAAACAGGCTGGAAGAGAATAGAGACCTCGAGAAGAGGGGAAGGGGAGCCAAGACGAAGTGGGGCAGAGGCAAGGGATGGGGAAGACGGACTAACGAGTCGGGGAGAGGGGGTACCCTAGAGGGCCACAGACACAGAGGATGGAAACTGTACTGGAGGGTCTTCCCCGGTCTTCCTTCAGCCCCCTTCCTGGAATGGGATTGGGGGAAGCAGGAGGGAGGGAGATTCCAAAGGAAGCTGTCTAACTTCGCAGGGGTCCCCTTAGGCTCCAAATCCTGGGGACAAATGGGAGCAAAAGGGCAACGGGGTGGGGGAGGGATGATAGGAGCGCGCATCTAAACACCTGAAGCAAAGTCACGGTCTCAGTTATCTAGGTCACGGGACTGGGAGGGGTTGGGCCTCGGGGGGCGCAGCGGCGTTCTTCCCCCGGGGTACGATGGCCTCCGCCGTCCCCATTCTGTGGCGGAGGAGCACGCCAGCCCCTAGCCCCCAGTCCTCGCAGTTCCCCTACCTTGCCGAAGTCGGAGCCAGGGCCGGGATGCTGAGAAGTGGAGCCGGGCAGCCACGGAGACAGAGAACTGTGCCGAGAAGGGGGTCACTTCGGAGCCCCGAGGGTCAAATTCAGGTGACGCGCGGGTACTGCACCGGTCCAGGCTCAGAGTTTGAATGAGAAGGTGGGGTCTGCGCGGCAGCTCCGTGAGGCCGGCTGGCTCCCGCGCCCAGCGGTACTTGGTTCGGGCAGTGAGTGGCTCCTGAGGCGACGCGCGGCTGGGCCCTGGCGTGCGACTCCGAGGGGCGGAGACCCCAGCGACGCCGAGGAAACACGGCATGGATCTGGAGCGGACTCAGGTCCGGCCGGGGGCTGGCGGGGGCGGGGGGAGGGTTGCAAAGCAGAGCAGTGGTCGCCGGCGGTGCGGTCCCCGCCGCGGGCGCAGCTGTATGGCCGAGTTATGCCGGCGAGACTCCGCCCCTTGTCCCCCTCAGTGCCGCGGGGGAGCGGCACTGAGGGTGGGGAAGTGTCTTGGGTTTTGGTGGAGTGGGTGATTGCTGGCTTAGTTATCGCCCCATGTCCCTAGTACCGTGGTCTCCAGGGCCACCCCCTGAACGTAATCCTCCTCCCACTCCCACCCCACCCCCAACCTCAGGCCGACCAGCTAAGAGGGACTGGAAACCGACGCGGAGTCGACGGCCCTGGGAACCCGGTCGGAGAAACTGATAGAGGAAATTGGAAACCGGTGAAGATCGGAAGCGAAGACAAGATACCAAAAGACAGAAGCAGAGAGGCTAAAAGGAGCGATGAGAGGCTGAAACGGGTCAGACAGGCAACCATTTTCCGGGGTCGCAGAGCAGCAGCCTTGTTACCCGGGTGCACAGGCCGGTTCAGCTTCTACTCAGCCGCTCGTTTCTCATAGGCCGCGAGGCACCAAGCCCTCCGCGTGGCAGCACTCAGAAAGAAAGACTTCCAGGTACACCCGTGTACACCAAGCACATGCACACAGACTTCTGTGCACACGCACGTGCTGGGGATCTGTTCACACAGGGATCCGCACCCCGTCCCAATCCAAACGGGTGGAGGAAGGGTGGGAGCAAAAGCAAAGTGTGGACCTGGAACCCGAGAGGGTAAAGCACTGCCCCTGACTCTAATAAGCTTGTGGCCAGGCCTCTTAACTCTTTAGGGCTCCTCCACCCTGGTAAAGTGAGATAAATACTCCTGTAAAGAGCCAGGAAAATGATGGATGTGAAAGGCCTTTAGTAACTTAAAGTACTGCCGGGAATATTAAGGTCTACTGAGGATGGGACCCCCTCCCTGTCCTCCTTCCAGGGCCTGCCCAGCTCCCATGCTCCCCACTTCCCACAAAAGTTGACCCCTCACCTATCTCATTCCATTTTTTTTTTTTTAAAGATTTTTATTGGGGATTTTGGGGGATGGGAACAGCGCTGGGGAATTGGGGGAAGGGGAACAGACAAGTTGCTGTTGTTTTGTTTTTTTTTGTTCTTCAGTCTAGTTGTGGAGGAGGTTGCTTCACTGGCCCAAGTTGGCACCATCATTGCGCTCTTCCTGGGTGAGGCACATCAGTCGCCGGCTTCTGGACGGCCGCTCACTGCGGCTGCTGGCCGCTCACGCTGGCTGCTGGCCGCTCACGCTGGCTGCTGGCCACACACGGTAGCCCATGGCAACCCACTGCCACAGGGGCTGCAGCCTACGCCGTCGCCGGCGACTCACGGCAGCCCAGCTCCAGGTTGAGCTGTTGTTCAGCATCTTAGCTGTGGAGGGCAGTGTCACTGGCCCTCATATGTGGGATCCGAACCGGGGCCTCTGGCGTCCCAAGCCAGCTCTTAACCATCGCGCCACTCGGCCGGCCCTCATTCCATTTTTTATACTGTCCAAGGCGATAACTCCATAAGCTGGTAAACTGATCCCATTGGCTGTGCTAATGTGATAAGATAGAGGATCGTGTTTCTGGACTCCGACCCAAGTGAGTTAAAGGGATGAGAGTCATCTCTTGAATTTAGACCCACTAAGCCAATAAGTAACTGAGAAGTCACTCGACTTGTTTATTATAGGACTTCTCCCTCATTTCTGATTTTTGAAACTGCTAACAGTGCACATCTCACAAAGCTGCAGTTAAGGTGGAATATGCTCAATTGTGGGAAAGCACCTCAAAAAGGTAAAGGAGTTGGAGGAAAAAGTCATTAATGGCAGAAAAGAGATGCAATCACATTCTAATCCCTCCCCTTTCACCAGATGCTTTACTTTTTTTCATCAGAAACTCTTGGATTGGTTCAACAATTCATCAACTTCCAATTCTTTCAATCAGACTTAAGTTTCCCCAAAGTTTCAATCTCCTCATGTCCAAGTCACTCAGAGTAAGATGTCACTGCTCATTGAGCCTGTCAAAAGCCATCTTTTTCTAAAATCACCATGCTCAGACTTCTCCATCCTGACTCCCGTAGAGGATAGGGGCAGTGGTAGTAAGAAATTGAAAGATAACTCTCCCAGCAAGAGGCATTTGGCATCCTTAAGTGAATCCTTAGATTGAAGGATTCAGGGAGGTAGGCCATCACTCTATGCTTCATGCTTTGAAATGGACCAAGGTCAAGGCCAGTTGGGGATGGGAGAGTGATCTGCTAGTTGAAAGGTGAGAGCCTTGGCTTCTTAGACCTGTGTACCAGAGCCACTGTGTGCCCTCTACTGGTGGTGATATATGTGTAAGCCACAGTACCACCTAGAACGTTGATAAAGCACTGTGGTTTAATCCTTCGCAACACTGTAGGATGAATGGAATTGTTCAGTCACTTTATAAATAAAGAAAGTGGGTCCTGGGCTGGTCAAGTGGCGCATTGATTAAGAGTTGGCTTAGGACGCCAGCTCTGGGTGGCAGGGCCCCAGTTCGGATCCTACATGAGGGCCAGTGATGCTGCACTCTCTACAGCTAAGATGGTGAACAACAGCTCAACTTGGAGCTGGGCTGTGGTGAGTCAATGGCCACAGTGTAGGCTGCAGTGGAGCTGGTCAGCAGCCAGCGTGAGCTGCCGTAAGCTGCGGTGAGCGGCCATCCAATGGCCGGTGAGTGACTGCCTCACCCGGGAAGAGCACAATGATAATACTAACATGGGCCAGGGAAGCGACGTCCTCCACAACTAGGCTGAAGAAAAAAGGACAGCAACTTGTCTGTTCCCCTTCCCGATTCCCCAACACTTGTTCCCCTCCCCAATTCCCCAATAAAATCTTTTTTAAAAAAAGAAAGAAAGTGGGTCCTGAAAGGTTCCATGACTTGGTCTAGGTCCCATAGCTGGCAAGGGACACTATCAAGTATTCTGACTATGATCTCAGACTCCTCAGAGGCCAAATGTACCTTGTGAAAGCACTTTACAAAGTATTGTACAAAGCATGAAGCAGATGTTAGTACTATTAATGCTGGAGATTTCCATTAGTCATTCTGAATTTTGTAAACACTGTCTTGTACCTTTGGGGGTTCTGAGTATTTGCTTTGACCCTCACGCTGGGCTTGTTTATTTGGGCCTTTTATTTGGGCAAGCTTATTTTTTGTCTCCCCACTGAGCGAAGTATGCCTTACTGTTAGCAGAGTGGTACCTTTGATCCCTGTCATTTCAGTTGGGCCCACCCTTTACTTCAGGGCCCCCACATCCCCCTATTTTTCCCCCATCCTTCCCCCACAACAGACCACCTTGGGTCTTTCCCCCCAGGCCTTCTAAACACCTCTGTATCTGGGATTCTGGTGACTAGGACTTCCTCCTCCAGATTTGTGAGTTTCGAGTGTTTTCCTCTCTGACCCCTCTCTTCCCAAGACTCAGTCCCCTGACTTCCCCCATACAGCGACCCCTCCTTTATCTGGGCAATTCCTCAATCTATGAGTCAGGTATTGACTTTCCAGGATGTCTCTAGCTATCTATGGAACATCTGCACTTGGATGAGAGCAGGAAAAACACAAAAGTGCTTTACAGGAACTGAGCTGGATACCTCACATGCTTTGTCATGCAACCTTCATGTCAAGCTCATTTTGCAGATAGGAAGGAGACCAAAGATCCAAGGGTTGAGTAATTGTCCCAAAGTCACAGAACCAGTGAACCCCTAAAAGCCTTACTCAGAATTATAGCACTAAAAAGAATCAGATCACCCCAGAAGGCAAGGTGTCAGATGCCACACACTCACTGATGACTCACAGGTTCCTCATCTGTAAAGAAGGCATAGCACCTAACTTCCAGTAAGGATTGAATAAGATAATGTTTGTAAAGTGCCTGGCATAGCATAGAAATTCAATTAATAGTAGCTATTATGATCTAGTCAACTGGAGCAGCAATTTCCAAATGGGAGGCATTATGCGAGGTGTGCTCGAAAAATATAGTGGATGTTTAAATTAAAAAAAAAACTTTTAGGGCCGGCCGAGTGGCGCGATGGTTAAGAACTGGCTTGGGATGCCAGAGGGCCCTGTTTCTGATCCCACATATGAGGGCCAGTGACACTGCCCTCTACAGCTAAGATGCTGAACAACAGCTCAACCTGGAGCTGGGCTGCCGTGAGTCACCGGCGACAACGTAGGCTGCAGCCCCTGTGGCAGTGGGTTGCCATGGGCTACCATGTGTAGCCAGCAGCCAGCGTGAGCGGCCAGCAGCCGCAGTGAGCGGCCATCCAGAAGCCGGCGACTGATCTGCCTCCCCGGGGAAGAGCGCAATGATGGTGCCAACTTGGGCCAGTGAAGCAATATCCTCCACAACTAGACTGAAGAACAAAACAACAGCAACTTGTCTGTTCCCCTTCCCCCAATTCCCCAGCACTGTTCCCATCCCCCTAATTCCCCAATAAAAAAAAAAATTTAAAAAAAACTTTTACAGTAGAAGACACATTGCTATTAATCCTCCTCAAAATACTCCCCCTTGCTTTGAACATCGTTCTTGCCACTTTCTGAAGCAGCTCTGGAAGTCTTCTTTTGTAAGTGTCTTTAATTGTGCTGTTGTGGCTGCCTTGATGTTCTGAATCAATTCAAAACATATAACTGTTCATGGTCATTTTGACTTTGGGGAAGAGCCAGAAGTCACACGGTGCCAGATCTGGTGAATAAGGTAGATGAGGACACACTGTAATGCTTTTATTTGACAGAAATTGCTGTACCAGAAGCTATGTGTGACATGGAGCCTTTCCATTGTGATCAGATAATATGGTGAATGCTGCTGCCGAGTGCCATCCAACGGAAAGGCAGGGATCTTCAATATGGGAAGTGGTGCATCAAACCTTAGTAACAGTGTGTGACAAGTTTCAACTTGTTCAGTGCAGTCAGTTGGTTGTGCGCTATGGTTGAGAGAAGGTGTTTTTTCAAGTGTGCTGTATGTCATCCTCCATCATGACAACAC